CACACACACACACACACACACACACACACACACACACACACACACACAGACCGGGTGGACAAAGACAGGACACATACGACGAGGTCAAAATAGAAGGTTACAATATAAAGATAGGAAGAGAAAGGGTGGTGGAGTATGTGCCTACATTAGAAATGACTTAGCTTACTTACTTACTTACTTACAACCCAAGACCTGATTTAAATAACAATAAACTGGAGATTCTATGGTTTGAAGTGCTGCTTCCCAAGACCAAACCCATCTTAGTAGGAACTAGCTACCACCCTCCTACCCAGGATAAGTTCTTAGAAGACTTTTCCAGAGTATTGTCCGGACTTGAAAACAATTGCGAGACAATAATACTGGGCGACTTCAATATCTGTTTTCAGCAGCAAAATAACGGGCTATGAAAAAGGTATAAGCAAATTCTAGGTTTAAATAGTTATACTCAACTAATTAATACACCAACCTGGATCACACAGTTCTCAGCCACCCTAATTGACAACATACTTTGTAACCGCGCTGAGAACATTAGTCAGTCAGGCGTCATTACCACAGGTCTTAGTGATCATTTCATCATTTACTGCACCAGGAAAATCACTAGGGATAGGATAGGCCTACACAGGACAATAAAAATGAGGTCAACTAGAAACTACAGTAAAGAAACACTGGTAAATAGGCTACACAATTGTGACTGGACAGAGATAACAAGTTGCACGGACGTAAACGATGCCTGGGAAAAAATCAAAACAATGTTCACTACCATCCTTGATAATATTGCACCAGTTAAAGAGGTTAGGATTAAACGAAGAACTGAACCCTGGATGACTACTGAGATATTAGATAATATGAAATTCAGAGACCAGCTGCTAAAAAGATTTAAAGTAAACAGACAGGATATTGCAGCACTAAATGAATTCCAAAGGGTGAGGAAGAGTACAGAGACTTATAAAAGGAGCAAAGGCAAAGCACTATTGCTCAAAAATTGAATAGTATAAGCATAACCCCAGAAAGCTATGGAAACAACTAAAACAGTTGGGGTATAGCCATAAGCCAGTAGATAGGTCCAACATAGCACTCACTTTCTATAACGAGGTATGCCACAAAACATCTAAGGTGGCAAATTGCTTTAATTCCTACTACACATCTGTTGCATCAACACTAGTAAGTAAACTACCAGCTGCATCAAATACCTTTAACACAGACTCTGATAAGTTTCAAACATACTATACCAATAAAGGGGTAACCCCAAACAGTTGTCAACTAGTAAGTGTATCTCATGACTTTATTCAAAAAGAACTAAGCAGGTTAAACCCAACTAAGAGCACAGGCCCTGATAACATCCCATCTAAGTTCCTAAAAGATGGTACTTCTGAACTGTCAATCCCTATTGCTCACATAATAAATCTATCAGTCACCACTAATACCATACCTGAGGGGTTCAAGGAGGCCAGAGTTACTCCTATCTTCAAGAAAAATAGTAGGTCTGATGTCAGCAACTATAGGCCTGTTAGTATACTCAGTATAATATCCAAAATTCTAGAGAGGGCGGTGTACTCTTAAGTACCTTAATGACAACAACATTCTCCACAGCTATCAATAGGGCTTTAGATCTTACTCAACTGACACCTCCCTAATTAATCTGATGGATTACCTGAGAACTGAAATGTCAAAGGGGAACCTCATGAGTATGGTAACCTTAGACCTGCAATAGGCCTTCGATACTGTCAGCCACAATATATTATGTAAGAAACTTCAAGCTATCGGTATAGGTTCTGTAGACTGGTTTAAGTCCTACCTTAGCAACAGGAGACAAATTGTCAAAATCAACAAAACGGAATCAGAACCCCTGCCGATAGCATGTGGAGTTCCCCAAGGTAGTATTCTAGGTCCCTTATTATTCTTATGTTATGTCAATGACATGCCTATCAGTGTCAAGTGCAAACTCCTACTGTATGCAGATGACAGTGCTTTGTTAGTGTCAGGTAAAGACCCACAAGATATAGCTAATGTTTTAACACTGGAACTGGAGTCCTGCAGCAAATGGTTAGTAGACAACAAACTATCATTACACTTCAGGAAAACTGAAGCCATTCTCTTTGGCATGAAACATAAACTGAGAAGGGTAAATAATTTTAATGTCCAGTGTAATGGGGAGCCCATCACTTTGATTTCATCAGTAAAATATCTGGGAATCCCCTTTGACCCATGCATGTCAGGAGAATTGATAGGGAACAGTGTAGTAAAGAAAGCAAATGCCAGACTGAAGTTCTTGTATAGACAAGCACAGTGTCTACCTACTGAGGCTCGCAGGACCCTATGTCAAGCCCTTATACAATGCCATATGGATTACGCTTGCTCTTCATGGTACTCTACCTTGAAAAAAAAAACTGAAAGATAGACTGCAAATCACTCAAAACAAAATCGTAAGATTTATCCTGGGGCTGGGACCAAGAGAACATGTAGGCCAGGATGAATTACAGCAGTTGGATATGCTGAATGTTGAAGACAGAGTAAAACAACTGAAGCTAAATCATGTTTATAAAATTGCTCACAAACAGTGTCCAGAATATCTTGCTGTCAATTTTGTTAAGGTTGGGAACCAAAGCAATCATAGTACTAGGGGGAGAGAGCACAACTTTGTAGTACCCACAGTCATTGGCCAGGCTTCAAACACCTTTCATTGTACAGCAATAAAGGAATGGAGCAGACTACCCGCACATGTCAAAGCCAGTCATAGCATGAACCAGTTCAACAAGAGTGCCAAAAGGTGTCTGATGAATGTAGCTACAGAAAGGGAGGGGAATGATTTTCTATTTTTTAGCTAACATACGTGTAAATTTTACCTTATTTCTAGTAATGACCCTCGTATTGCAGATAGTCTTAATGACCCCCATGTAGTAGATAGTCTTTTTAGTATGGTAATAAAATGTTATCTTCATTATAGAATAATAAGAAAATATTATAACCTTTATATTATAATAATAAGGTAAAAGGACCCCAATGGAAATAAGTCACTCTGTCTGACTTTTTTGGGTTATCCTAGGTTCTCTGCACATATGCTGCTATGTATGATAATTCTATGTAACTGTATTTGTGTATACCTGAATAAACTTACTTACTTACTATAGGATGTTCCAGAGATGGGACACAGCAACAAGGGGCCACAGTTGGAAGTTGAAGACACAGATGAATCACAGGGATGTTAGGAAGTATTTCTTCAGCTGCAGAGTAGTCAGGAAGTGGAATAGTTTGGGAAGCGATGTAGTGGAGACAGGATCCATAGATAGCTTTAAGCAGAGGTATGATAAAGCTCACGGTTCAGGGAGAGTGACCTAGTAGCGACCAGTGAAGAGGCGGGGCCAGGAGCATGGACTCGACCCCTGCAATCTCAACTAGGTGAGTACAACTAGATGAGTACACACACACACACACACACACACACACACACACACACACACACACACACACACACACACACACGAGGACCAGGCAGGACTTCAAAGAGACCTGGACAGACTGGACACCTGGTCCAGCAACTGGCTTCTCAAATTTAATCCCGCCAAATGCAAAGTCATGAAGATAGGGGAAGGGCACAGAAGACCGTAGACAGAGTATAGGCTAGGTGGCCAAAGACTGCAAACCTCGCTCAAGGAGAAAGATCTTGGAGTGAGAATAACACCGAACATGTCTCTGGAAGCACACATCAACCAGGTAACTGCTGCAGCATATGGGCGCCTGGCAAACCTGAGAACAGCGTTCCGATACCTTAATAAGTTCAAGACACTGTACACCGTGTACGTCAGGCCCATACTGGAGTATACAGCACCTGTTTGGAACCCGCACTTGATAAAGCACGTCAAGAAACTAGAGAAAGGTTAAGGGAAATCGGCCTGACGACACTAGAGGACAGAAGGGTCAGGGGAGACATGATAACGACATATAAAATACTGCGCAGAATAGACAAGGTGGACAAAGACAGGATGTTCCAGGGAGGGGACACAGAAACAAGAGGTCACAATTGGAAGCTGAAGACACAGATGAGTCAGAGAGATATTAGGAAGTATTTCTTCAGTCATAGAGTTGTCAGGCAGTGGAATAGCCTAGAAAGTGATGTAGTGGAGGCAGGAACCATACGTAGTTTTAAGACGAGGTTTGATAAAGCTCATGGAGCGGGGAGAGAGAGGGCCCAGTAGCGACTGGTGAAGAGGCGGGGCCAGGAGCTAAGACTCGACCCCTGCAACCACAAATAGGTGAGTACACACACACACACACACACACATGGTAATGCTTTATTTACAGCTAGCAAAGTCAGGGTATTTTTCCAGAATGTTCTGTAATATACCACTATGGATAAAATACTTAATATCTTGAACATTTCTGCACAAGTTGTCTCTGAATGCATTAATTTTATCGCACTCTGGTACATAATGACGCAGGGTGTGACAATAGTCCATGTGGCGAAGTTTGTATTTCATTTGGTCTACATCTGGTGGTGGTGACTTAACCTGCCAAAGATACTTGTAGCCCAGCCGGTGCCGGGCAGTAGTGACATCCAAGAGTCGGCTTTTCTTGTTGGATGCACTTTAGACATGTGGCTCCTCCTGCATGATAGAATGATGATAGATGGACTGACTGGTGTCAATCTCCCTGAGTCTTAAGTCAATAAAATTCAGTTGAAGTTCTTTTCATATTATTGTTCTCAAACTGCTAACTGACAACCCAAGATTGTAATCTACCCCCTCTTTGAAAGCATACATCTTAGCCAATTTATCAGTTCTATCATATATCTGAAGACCAATGTGAGATGGAATCCACAGGATGTGCACTCTGACTCCACTGTCCACAATCTTACCATACCTGTGTCTGGCATCTGACACGAGCATGCCACAATTTATACTTAATGAGTTGAGAGCGTTTATGGATGACAGAGAATCAGTTACAACTAATGTCTTAATCTTAGATACATGGATGCATTTCAGTGCAAGGAGTATGGCAAACAATTCTGTAATCAGTGAGAATTTAATTTAATGATTTGACTGAAAGAAATGGATTGTTGGGTTCACATATAACTGAAAACAATTTAATTAATTAATGGTGTTTGTGTAGTGGATTATAGTTGCCACAATTAATTGAATTTCCATGCCCAGTGGGGCTGGAATTGTATTTCTTATACATTTGTAATATTATTGGATTTTGTGTAATTATTATATAAATTAATTGCTAAGCCCAGAAAGGCTAGTATTGTAACTGCTATAATTATTAATTTGCTAAGCCCAGTTAAGGCTAGGAATGATAATTGTCTTCTTTCTGATTATAATAATAATTATATATTAATTTGCTAAGCCAGGAAATATTTGGCTAGGATATTTGGAACATATTGTAATAATTATACCCAGTGTCTCATTGTATAATTTGTATAACCAGTGTTCATTAATTGAGTCTAATACAGTGGACCCCCGCTTAACGATCACCTCCAAATGCTGCCAATTATGTAAGTGTATTTATGTAAGTGCGTTTGTACGTGTATGTTTGGGGGTCTGAAATGGACTAATCTACTTCACAATATTCCTTATGGGAAAAAATTCGGTCAGTACTGGCACCTGAACATACTACTGGAATGAAAAAAGTTCGTTAACCGGGGGTCCACTGTACATAATGGAGCCATGGATGAGGTTAGTGTATTTAATGCACATGGAAAATCCATGGGTATTAAATATTGAGACACTTATGCAACATATGCAACGTTTCGCCACTGTGTGGCGAAACTTTTCTTCAACTTGTCGGTTTTCAAAATCATTTATCACATGGGTACTAAAGCTATAAAGGCATCATTAAATGCAAAAAAGGGTCATGTGACCAGAGCTTATAATAAATGCCTCAACCCCTGCCAATTTGGATTCAGGCCTAATAAAAATACTAATGATGCTATTATACACATGCTAGAACATATATACACTGCAACAGAGAAAAAAGAAGTCCCACTGGGGATCTTCATTGACTTACGTAAAGCTTTTGATACAGTTGACCATGACTTGCTCCACGTAAAATTGTCACACTATGGTATTAGAGGGCACTCCCTCAACTACCTCAAGTCTTACCTCAGCAACAGAAGCCAATATGTGTACGCAAATGGGGCAAGCTCTTCCGCACAACCAATTACAGTTGGTGTCCCACAGGGAAGTGTCCTTGGCCCTCTTCTCTTTCTCCTATACATAAATGACCTACCAAATGCTTCGCAATTACTCAAACCCACACTTTTTGCAGATGACACTACATACATCTTCTCTCACCCGAGCCCAGTCACGCTAGCCAATACTGTAAACACCGAATTACAGAAAATATCTACCTGGATGAGGACTAACAAACTTACACTAAACATTGACAAAACCTACTTCATTCAGTTTGGTAACAGAGCTACAGATGTACCTCTTAACATAACGATAAACGGATCACCTATCACAAAGCTAACAGAGGGAAAATTCCTAGGAATCCACCTCGATAATAGACTCAAATTTCATACACATATACAACAAATTTCTAAGAAAATTTCCAAGACTGTAGGCATACTATCGAAGATACGGTACTATGTTCCACAGTCAGCCCTCCTGGCCCTTTATCACTCTCTTATTTACCCCTATCTCACCTATGGAATTTGTGCATGGGGCTCAACAACAATTAACCATCTCAGACCACTAATTACCCAACAAAAGGCTGCAGTTAGAATGATAACAAATTCTCACTACAGGCAACACACTCCACCAATATTCAAAACACTCAACCTACTCACCATACAAAACATCCATACATATTATTGCACCTATTACATACATAGAACACTTAACTCTGATATTAACCCTCCCCTCAAACATCTCCTTGCCAACCTCAACAGAAAACATGACCATAACACAAGGCACAGATCACTCTTTGATGTTCCTCGTGTCCATCTCACGCTATGCAAAAACTCAATGCACATAAAAGGCCCTAAAATCTGGAATTCATTACCTGTAAATATAAAAGAAACACTACCTGTTTATAAATTCAAGTCTCTTCTCAAAGTTCACTTACTCACTCAAAACCAAATAAATACTGAATAACTGAACCTTATAAATTGTATATCCAAAATGTTACTCACAATTATATCACATAAATGTTAAACCTAGGACCCAATCTAACTTTGTTATTTTTTTAAATACACTACCTAACAGAATACTCCATTCTACTGAATGAACAGCAATGCATGCAACCATTTGACCTGTCTTTGTAATACTCATTTGTGCTTTATAGATATCTGTTTACAATAATGTCTTATCACTGATTTCATCATTGCTTAGTTAATCTTAAGTTAATTTTAAGCCAGCCCGTAATGCTATGCATATAAGTGGCTTTGGCATGCTGCTCTTACCTGTATTTTTTTGTACCTCTGTATGTATGCTAAAATTTCTAAATAAATAAATAAATAAGAAACTGTGAATAAGGTTAATTTAGAATTATATTTGGAATCATTAGAGAATAGGTAGGTGTCATATAAATTGTGTTACACAGAATATGTAGGAGATATGTTGATGAATTGTACAGATGATAATGAAAGGGAATTATTCATTAATCAGCATTATGAACTAGAAGAAAACACTATCATGTAAAAGTGAGGTATTAATTAAATTGAAATGTGTAAATATTGCAGCTGACCAGTGTAGTAATGTAAATGCCAGGTCTTTGCCCAAACTCCCAGAGTTATGTCTACCAACATTTAGTCCAGGAGACAGCTGGGAGGAATTCTGGTCAGTATTTAAGTGCAATCCCTTTCTTAATAATTTGTGCATATGTGTGTCTAACTTCATACACAAGCATACATTCAGGTCTCAGGCTATTTAGACTAAGTAACGAGGAAAGAGAGTCCGTTACAATTACACTATGTGGTCACAGTCTTCACAAGCTTGATAGCAACAAGTATGGCAAACAGCTCAGTTTGTAAGGTGGACACCAAGTTATTAATTTTAATACACCTCTCTATCATAGAACTACTGTACAACTATGATAAATTTCTTTAGTGTTAAGTAGTCAGTAAGCCATTAAATTAAGTCGGATCATGATGCCTAGGCATAATAGAGGCTCTCTTTGCATTGCAACCCATTACTGTAAATACATAATCTCAATGTACTACTTGCAAAGAAATAAATAAATCATTTGAATTTGAACAGTGCCATCAGGCCGGTTTACAATAATAACACTTCCCGCCCTCCCACTCTCAGGGTGAGAGTAGTCATCAGTGTAGTCTGTGTGATAGTATTATTTGATCTAAGGTCATGTATGTGTTCCAGAGCACTGATTTTAAAAAGTAATTGAATTTAAGGATTGTGCATTAGTTCATAAAGGGTTGATCTTACTAGCTGATCTTACACAATGGTCATATTTAGTAAAAGTTACAGTCACATGCTCCCATCAGTGCCTGAGTCACTAACAGTTTAGATCATTGTATGCTGGGATGACTGCAGTGTGATTTATATAGGTTTGCTATGTTCTGCTGGTCACAGTGCACTTACCTATGTCTCTTATTTTTCTAAGTTCTGCTATGAATAGTACCAAATACTGTATTTTGGTTTCTTAGTATCTTTGGTTATTGTGCTAGTAATCCTGGTCTGCTGGGCTCTGTTAGCCATTATGTAAATCATACTGGTGTACTGTATTCTGCTGGTCAGTGTCATTTATCCTGAACTCTACTAGTCAATGTGCCACTTATAATCTACTGGGCTCCTTTAATGATAGTGCTATTCATTCTCATTTACTTGGATCTGCTGGTTCTTGTGTCAATCCATGTCTGCTGGACTCTTCTAGTTGTTACCAGTCACCCTTGTCTGCTGAGCTCTTTATTCAATGTATTCTTTTATTAAGCTGTTTTCATAAGTGTTACCTGTTCTGGTATACAGGGGTCTGCTGGTCATTGTGTCAAGCCTCTTGGTCTGCTGAATTCCTCCAGTTACATGAAACATGTTTATCAGCTGAGTACTACTGGTCATTGCATTACTATTATCTATTTTGGGTCTGCTAGTCTGTTTTAGCCATTCTGGTTTACTGGGCTTTACTGGTCTTGCCATTCTTGTCTGCTCTTCTCTGCTGGTCAATGTGTCATCATTATTATTTGCTGAGCAAGAGCCACTATTATATGTTTGGATTTGCTGAGGACAGAAATAACTATCATACCTTGTTTGGGATCTGCTGTCTTTGGGTTTGTTCTGGGATCCCTTTATTCTATCTAGATGCATTTCTGGGCGCCGGATTACTTGACGAGAATTTTTAGTCATCTGATTTATTTGTAACATCTTATTCAAGTCTAAAATGTATGAAAATTTTGAATTTTTAAAAGCAAAAGATCCAGATGGGCTCTGAAGATAGTGCTTCTCAATGTAATCTGAAGTTATGTTACTAATAAATTTTGTTTCTCCTGAAGTATCTACTTTACCATAAGGAATCCATTTGTTGTAATTATCTAGGAAATACCAAGTATAACAGCTAGCTTTTATAATTTGGTCAGAGACTGCCTCAGTACATAGCCGACGAATGTAAAGGATCTTTGTTTTGGACGAGTTGGTCAAATTCATTGCTTTAAAATCTGCATACAAAATGTCACGACCCAACAGAATATTAAGAGCCATAAAAGGGACCTCAAGGTTACCTGAATCAAGGCAAGGAAGGTTAACTCCAGCTTGTGAAGGGTCGCAGTAGGCCCGCTCCAAGGAAATCACCTGACTAAGGTGTAGGTTCATCCAATGACTTCTTTGTTTACTGACCTGCCAGTAAAAATGCTGTTTTGAGTGGAGTCGCTGGCATCCACTTTTTTCATACATACACTTCTTTTCTACTGAGTAATAACAAATTTCTGGTATAGAAACATCTCCTCTTAAATCATGTGACCAACGAGTTGTACGGAAGTTCTTGACAGCTATTGTTTTAGTTGAATCTGCAGGCATGCAAAGTGTTAATTTAGCTTGTATATCTGAAGTTTTTGAGCCATGTTCTGTGTTTGTCAGTATGTCACTCTTAACTTTACTTTCATTAGAATATAGTCTGACCTCATTTTTAAAGTCCTCAACATTAGCTTTCATATCAACTGTTTTTTTACCACCATTTTGTATCACAGTTTTATTTTCCACATTCAGAGAGCATTTATGGATTTCTGCTTTTGAAGGTATATTATACATTTCTGAAGTTTTTGAGCCATGTTCTGTGTTTGTCAGTATGTCACTCTTAACTTTACTTTCATTAGAATATAGTCTGACCTCATTTTTGAAGTCCTCAACATTAGCTTTCATATCAGCTGATTTTTTACCAACATTCTGTATCATAGTTTTCTTTTCCACATTCATAGAGCATTTATGGATTTCTTTTTCACATGTTTTAATTTTTAATGGATGTTTTATTGTTTTGTCATTTTTGTTTTGCCCACTGTTAGACTGTTCATCCTTGGTGAGCGTGGGGTTTGCTGAGAGCAGAGCTATTACAATGTCCCGTAGAGTCTCATTGGTAGAAAAACCATTAGTCTTCAGTAGTTGACAACATTTAGGACTCAGTAGATCATGGTTTAGTTGACAGTTTTCAATGGAACATCTTGTAAACCCCAGCACAAAGCTAAGACATATATGGAGAGCCTCACAGTCAGACTGGCTGCAGCCTCCTTCATTGTAGCCTCTACAAACACCTAACTGACATGCATGAGAGCTCTTCATATTTAGTCTGATAAGCTTCATAAGAATTCGAGAAGGAAGCCAGTCAATAAAGAGTGCCTGAAGAATAGTCTTATTGTGGTTCACTGACCACTTGTGTCCCAAAGAGCACATGTTTTCTTGGCAGGAACCTGTGACATAACCAGGACAGATATGTAGATCAGAGCATGGAAAATCCTTATGACACCCGTCCGGGCTTGAGTGTGCTTCACAGATGTTAACTTGTGGTTTCAGCTGAACTAAGCTGTTGTTTAAATTAAATATTCTCTTATTTTGCAACACAACTTCTTGCAATTTTAGCAGATGCAGGCCCTTATCTTTTATAAGTTCTGAGAGACTTGCAGAAAATTTTGGATATCCCACCAAGTAATCAACAAGGAGGCGAGGGGTGAGTTTAACACTGTACACATTTTCATCACATTGTGTTTGGTATTTGCGATTAAAAACTGTACTCCAATTGTATCTTGGAGATTTATCCTGTCTAGAATTCTGCCGCCAGTTCTTCTCTTCTGTGTCTTCAGAACCACCACAGTAGGACTGGGATTGTTGTGACTGGCCAGGCTTACTTGGGACACATTCTCTCCAGTTCTCAGTTTTTCTTGCTCCCCACTTATCTTCATCTTCACTGTAGTACTCAACTCCATCCTGTAGGGTGAGTCACAAACAAAAGTCATTTCAATATTGCAGTCTTCATTAACCACTGACATACACTTATATTAATCACAAATAAATCTTTAGTAAGCAGTGATGTTCTTTTTACAAGCTCCACCAGTCTTACCTTCTCTATATATGTAACTCTGTTTACACTCCAATAGCACATCAAATCATAAAACCCACTTGCCTCCATTTACGATTATGTAATATGCTCACACAAACTTGTTGGATGTCCAAGTCCTTAGTACTCAAAACCTTCTTCACACACTCCTTTCAACCTTTCCCAGGATGACCTCTGCCCCACCTTCCCTCCACCCCAGATTTATACACCCTCCTATGTCATCCTATTTTTCTCCACCCTCTACAAATGTACAAACCACCTTAACAGCCCCTCCTCAGCCTTCTGAGTAATACTTTTGGTAATCCAACACCTACTCCTAGTCTCCAAACTCCAAATTCTCTGCATAATATTTACACCACACACTGCCCTCAAACATATTTCCACTGCCTCCAGCCTCTACCTTGCTGCAACATTTCAAATTCATACTTGACACCCATACACCAGTGTTGGTACCCCCATACTCTGATAGATTCCCTTTTTGCCTCCATGGATAAATTTCCTTAGTCTCCACAGATGATTCAAAACAGGTGCTTCGTTGTTCCTTTGTCAGTTCTATGGCTCACCTCATCTCTCATAGAACAATCCACTGACAATTCCACTCCCAAATATCTGAATACATTAACTTCCTCCATACTCCCTCCAATCTGATATCCAATCTCTCAATGCCTAGATTTTTAGTTATTCTCATCACCTTACTCTTTCCTATGTTTACTGTTAATTTCCTTCTTTTACCAACCACTGTAACATCTCTTAAGAATCTTCAAAAAGAACCATGTCATCAGCGAAAAACAACTGTGACAATTCCCACTATATATTAGATTCACTATTTTTTAATCCTACACCTTTTCCTAACACCCTATTGATCACTTCTTTTACAACCCTATCTATTAATACAGCCTCTCCTCACTTACCGACATACTCGTTTACCAACAACTCAGAGTTACGACAGGCTCTCATAGTTATTGTACACTGTACAAGAACTTGGGTCATGAACGGGCAGTGCAGCATCTCAGTGTCAAGCATCTGAATCTCCTTCCTACAGCCACACAGTACACTAGTTTCCAGTGTCTAAGACTACATATTTGTATAAATTTCCTGTTTTTTTCCTCTTCCAAGAAGAAAAACAACAGGAAAATGGAAGAAGTACAAAATAAGTTCATTGTAAAGGGGTTAGCGATGCATCTCAGCATCAAGCAATCTCCAAGACTACATATTTAGTCTATATATTTGTACTTTACTGTGCATCCCATAGTAGAGAACAGAGTTAGAAGTGCAGAAGCACTTGGAAGAGGAAAAAGGAAGAAGTACAAAAGAAGTTCATAATAATGGGGTTACCTTGTGTGTTCGTATCTGTGTTTACATTCTCGGTGTATTGTGGCAGCTTAAGAAATGATTAAACTCAGTGAAAAAGATATGTGGATGGTGGTAATAATAATAATAATAATAATAATAATAATAATAATAATAATAATAATAATAATAATAATAATTATAATAATACAGTAGACCCTCAACCAACAGCGGCATTGACTAATGCCAAAATCGATTAAAGGCACTCTTTGGCATAAAAAAATTGGCTCTACCAACGGCGAAAAACTCGTCTAAAGGCTTTCGTCCCAAATGTGTCCATGCGGCCGAAGCGGGCCAAGCCACTCCAAGACTCCATGTACAGCCAATGTGCTAGTGTTTACAAGCCATTTCGGTCGATCCCATGTGCACCTGCGATATATTTTGTATTATTCCAATCAATCAATCAATCAAGTTTATTCTCTATATGGATTACAATGCGGGGTTTACAGATTTTGGTTATTGTGTGGTTTACATGTAATAAAATACTAATTACAGAGGGGGCCACTAGGACACCTAGCATGGCTAGGCATTTTGGGCAAACTTAGATTAATTCTTAACCCTAAATTATTACAAATTATGGAGTAAGCTGACTAAATACTATTTTGTGAGTTTAGCAATGTGAATGCTTTTGTTTTGGCACAATACATAGTTTCTATATTGGAGTATCACAGGCAAACTTATGACTAGTAAGGAATCATTATTTTAAGATTAAGATTTGTATTTCTGTGCTTATAGTCAAATGGGTAAGTGAGTGAGTGTAAGTGTGAACCACCAGGTGGTTTTTATGTAGTTAGTTGACGGGGTGTATCAGGGAGATAAGATGTTTTCTAACGGTAGTTTTGAAGGTGATGAATGTGTCTGCAGTTCTAGAGTTTTCAGGTAGGGTATTCCAGATTTTAGGGCCTTTGACATACATTGAATTTTTGTAAAGGTTTAGTCGGACACGGGGAATGTCATAGAGATGTTTGTGTCTGGTGTTATGCCTGTGGGTCCTGTCGCAACTATCAAGAAAGCATTTTAGTTCAAGGTTAATATTGGAATTTAAGGTCCTGTATATGTAGATTGCACAGTAGTAAGTGTGGATGTTCTGAATAGGGAGTAAGTTTAGATCTATGAAGAGTGGGGGGGGGGGTGTTGCCGGGGATGGGATTTAGTGATTATTCTTACTGCGGCTTTTTGTTGGATTATTGGCTTTAGGTGTGTTGCTGCAGTTGATCCCCAAGCACAAATAGCATAGGTGAGGTATGGATAAATTAGTGGATGGTATAGTGTGAGAAGGGCAGTTTGTGGCACATAGTATCGTATCTTGGAGAGGATCCCAACTGTTTTGGATACTTTTTTTGTTATGTGTTGAATATGGGTGCTGAAATTCAGGTTGTTGTCGAGGTATAGGCCTAGGAATTTGCCCTCATTATGTCTGGCAATTAGAGTGTTGTCGATCTTAATGTTAAGTTGCGCAACACCTGCTTTGCTACCATACATAATATAGTAGGTTTTGTCAGTGTTAAGCGTAAGTTCACTGGCTGTCATCCAAGTCGATATTTTGAGCAGCTCATTAACAATGGTGTTGAGGGTGGCAAGATTAGGGTGAGAAATGACATAAGTCGTGTCATCAGCAAAGAGAATGGGTTTCAGGTGTTGGGATACGTTTGGAAGATCACTGATGTAAATGAGGAAGAGAAGGGGTCCAAGGACACTTCCCTGTGGAACTCCAGTATCAAGTGGCCGTGTTGATGATGCTGTGTCTTTAATGGTGACATACTGATACCTATTAGTAAGGTAGGATTTGAAATATGCAAGTGCATGGCCTCGTATACCATAATGGTCAAGTTTGTGGAGTAGGATGCCATGGTCTACTTTGTCAAAAGCTTTTCTTAGGTCAATAAAAATTCCTAGTGGATATTCCTTATTTTCCAATGCTGTGTAAAGCAGATCTAGCATTTTTACAATTGCATCATTAGTGCTTTTATTTTTCCTGAATCCAAATTGGCAGGGGGTGAGTATGTTTTGTGCCGTTATAAATGAATATAGTCTCCTGTGCACGAGTTTCTCGAAGATTTTGGATAGCAATGGTAAGTTTGATACTGGCTTATAGTTGTTTACATCTGTAGGGTCACCACCTTTATGTATTGGTGTAACCCTTGCTATCTTGAGTAGTTTCGGGAAGGTGCTAGTTTCTAGTGACTTGTTAAAAAGTAATGAGATAGCATGTGAAAGGACATGGGCCACTCGCTTGTACAATAATGGTGGGACATGAGACAGATTCCCTGAGTTATTTTTACGTGACTTTATAATCTCGGTGACTTCGGTGGGCTCAGTTAGTACAAGATAGAAGGAATTTGGGAAATTCCCATCTAGGTAATCCCTGGCATGGGCGTTGGTATGTGGGATTTTACTGGCAAGATTAGATCCTATGATTGAGAAGAAGTCGTTTATCTTGTTAGCTGTATCAGTGGGATGCAGTGGAGTTTCATTTGGTTTAGTTAGGACAATATTCTTGTCTTTTTTTTCAGTTTGTGGGTCCCCAGAATCTGGGAGAGTGTTTTCCAGGTCTTTTTTATATCTCCTCTTGTGTCAGTGAAGCTGCTGGAGTAGTACAGTTATTTGGCTTCCTTTATTACTTCGGTGAGAACTAATGAATAGTGTTTTAGTGCTTGTAACTGCTACATAAGCCACCATGGGCCCCAAGAAAGCTTCTAGTGCCAAGCCTGTGGTAAAAAGTGTGAGAATTACAATGGAAATGAAGAAAGAGATCATTGAAAAATATGAAAGTGGAGCACATATGTCCAAGTTGGAAAGGCTATATAACAAACCCCATTCAGCCATCACTACTATCTTGGCGAACAGAAAGGCAATCAAGGAAGCTGTTGTTGCAAAAGGTTCAAGTATGTTTTCAAAACGGAGATCGCAAATAATTGAAGAAGTGGAGACACTGTTGTTGGTGTGGATAAACATAAAACAATTATCAGGAGATAGTGTTTCTCAGTCAGTTGCATGATGATCTCATTAAGAAAATGCCTTCAAATAGTGATGATATTGATGAATTTAAGGCCAGCAAAGGCTGGCTTGAGAGATTTAACCCCTTGACTGTCGCAACCCCCAATCCTGAGGTGCCTCCTGGTGTCGCAAAATTTCAAAAAAAAAAAAAAAAAAAAAAAAAAAAAAAAAAAAAAAAAAAAAAAAAAAAAAAAAAACTTATGAAATGATAGAGAATGTTTTCCCAATTGTAATGACACCAAAAAAAAAGAAATTTGATGGAAAACTGATGAAATTATGCTCTTGCAAAGCTAGCGACCTCGGCGATATTTACAAATCAGCGATTTCGCCCACTTTGAGCCCTATTTTTGGCTAATTCCATTGTTCCAGTCGACCAAACTCATAGCTATTTCTTTAGAACTTTTTCTATCGATTGAGTACAAGAAACTGCCCATTTACTGATTTCAACTACGCAATAATGTGGTCAGAAATTTGCAATTTGGCCAGTTTCACGAAAATTAAAAAATATGAATTTCAAAATAAG